GGCTGTGCTGCGGGCATCGAACTCCGCGGGGGACGGCGGAGTTGCCGAAACTGCCCCTTTGTGCCGGGTCTCCAGATGCATGTCAGCGGTTGGGCCGGTTCCGCTCGGCGAGGGGTGGCGTTGTGCCGACCGTTTGGGTTCTCTGTGACCATTTTTGGTTCGTTGCGGAACCGCGTACCCCAGGGCTGGGGGTCGAGGGTCCGGTGGGGCGGAATGGCACGCGCTGTACAGGGACCGGCCTGGAAGCGGACTCGCGGCCCAGCGCCGGGGCGCGGTTCGGGGCGTTAGGACAGCCGGTCCCTGGGAAGAAGTTTACCCGACCGACCACAGCGTGTTCCGTGGTTGAGCAGTGACCGTGCGGTGCTGCGGTCTGAGTATTGGGATGCAGTCTGAAAAACTGCTTAAAATGCCAGCAGAGAAGCGTAAGGATGTAGGAGTCATTTACGAATCAAAAAAGTAAGTGTAGTCAGCTTGGCCCCATTCACTTTTCCTCTCATTAAATCGAGATTTTTAAAAAGCATATAAATATTATTCACATAAAGGATATAAAGGACAAAGAAATCTTGCACATTAAAGGTATGGGAATAGTGTATGGGCACACAATTAGTGCCAAATTCCTTTGTCTTCTGAAGTAGAAAGTGTTCGTATGACATACATTCTGACTTGTCGGTGCTGCTAATGGGAGGTCCGCCAGATTTTGTTTCTGGGAAGAAAAGATGGGACATAAGGGCAGATAGAGCGAGTATATGCTCGGTGCTCTTTCACCATGGCGGTGCATTTTTCACCCCACACAAAACCCACTTGTAGTTCTAGTTTCTAACAATATTGAGGTCCTTAGAATTGACTTCAATTGTTTGAGTTTATTCAGATATAAATTCTGTATTTAGTAGAACTTTATACAACAGGGAAGTGAGTTCACAATATTAGAAGGGGAAAAATCAGAAAGTCTTGTACACAAATGTACTTTACTGTCCATTCCTGAGGAAAGTGACATAATTATGCTGTTTTCAAATTTTAGGACAATTCTTTGTGAAAAAGAGATTTTGGTAAGGAAGTGGGGAAATTGTTGTCAGCTCTTCTCTATGGGGTCAGAGTAATCTGCTTATAAGTATAACTCATTATACTTATTAGATGTAGTAAGATTAATTAGGGAAAAAGCTAGTGTGATTTTTTATTAATTTATTTTCTAAAAGAACTTATTTTTAAAGCAAGTATATATGGTCGCCAAAAATTAAGCTAATTAGCACAAGCCCTTAGGCACCCTATTTTAATGTATAGATAAGAATGATTTGAAAAAAAAAAAAAGAGAAAGATTTGAACTTGTAGTTAGTATGGTCAGGAGAATGTAAATATATATTTTAAATTCCCTGATGTTGCTTTAGTTTTTATTTTCCTAGGTAGTTTAGTATTCACTCATCACCTGTTTTGGTTTCAAAATACTCATCTTCTTTCAATAATGAAAATAAATTTTAGACCCGGCTTTACCTGTGTTACATATCCCGAATAATTTAAATTCAAATTTAGTTGGTATTAAGTATTAAATATGCTATTTATTTGTGAAGTTCTTTTTCTTTCTAGGTGTTTATGGTGACTGTGTGCTATCTGTGCTTTGAGGACCTTCTTAGAAATTTAGACTTGATAATTTCTTTGGAATTATTAAATATTCTTTAAAACCCATAAGATAATGCTTTTGCCTGTACAAACCCTTTGTGTTATCTGCCAGATTTAAGGACCACGGTACAGCTATGGATAGTGAACCAAACCCTGGAACATCTTCTGTGTCGACAACAACCAGTAGCACTACCACTACCACCATCACCACTTCCTCCTCTCGAATGCAGCAACCACAGATCTCAGTCTACAGTGGCTCAGACCGACATGCTGTACAGGTATTTCATTATAAAGATGGGTAGGCTAAGACTTAGGATGTCATTATTTTTGCTTATGCAAAATTCTGTTTCATATCCAATGAATTATATGATATCCTCTAAATAAGTACAGTTAGAATTATTAATGTTCAAAACACTCAAAAAGTTACTTAATAATTATTCTGTTGAGAGGGCTTATATTTGTCAGAGTGTAGCTTTTTTTAAAAAAATCTTTATTGTTGAAAGTCTTACATAGGTTCTCTTTTTCCCCCCATTTAACCTCTTCCAGTCCGTTCTTATTCTCCCCTCCCCCCCTCCCTCCCCCGAGTGTAGCTTTTAAAATATGTAAGGAAAATTATAATTGGAAGGTGTCTGGCTGCTGCTGCAGTATGGAGATACTCAGTCTAGAGCCCCAACATGCAGAATGGCTCTAGGTTTTTTGGGGTTATTTTATATTTGAACCCATAATGTAGACTTAGGGAGATCTATTCAGGTCTGTAGATGTGTTAAGAGGTTCATTTTAAACTTAAGAACCCTAAGGAGAAGGATTCATTCTAAAGCTCTTAGGGGCAGAGGTGGAAAGGAATTCTAAGGAGGAAAAATCTTGGGCTCTTCACTTAGTTGAGAAAATTAAATTTACTTGGTTAACCTTTATAATAATGGAAGTTAAGGCAATATGGTATTGCATATAAAGGACATGGGCATTGCAGTCTGATATGCTCTTTGAATTTCACTTTCTCATTAGTAGTTATATAATCTTGGGTGGGAGGCATAATAGCCTCAGGAAACTGTAAAATGAGGATGAGACCACCACTTTATTAGTTATTTGAGGATTAAAGGAAGCATCTAGAACTGTGTGGGCACATTAGATGTACCCAGTACGTAATAATAGCTAACATTTATTGAACAGTTTCTGTGGGCCAAGCATTTGATAAAAGCTTTGCATGGGTTATTAGATACTATTATTATCTCCATTTTATAAATGGGAAAACTGATGTTTTACTAGTAAGTAGTCTAACTTTCCTAAACTCATAAAGCTAGTAGGGTCTCTGATTCTGGAGTTGCGCCCTTAACCACTCTTTGAGTTCTTATTTTTTTCCATTATACCTGCTTATTCTCTCTAGAATCCCCATAATTGCATTCTACATTGAAAATAACTTTGCAACATAGTCCTCTCCCTATTCATTTTTCTAGAGTGGATACCCCAGTATAATGACTATTTAACTGTTGGTATGGTTTGGGATTCTGACGTTACCATGGATGGAATCAGAATTGTTGGAGACCCAGTCAGTTAAAAAATTCAAACTGGAATGCAGAATGTGATTTTAATGTTCTTCATCTTTCTCTGAGGCAAGAGATATAGGGAAGAGTATCAAGATCTTTGAACATACAGATGATGTGATATTTTAATATGTCATTTTGTTCTCTAGTTTTTACCTGAGCTGGATGTGTTAATAAAAAACAGTGTTATGTACAGCATAGGGAATATAGTCAATATTACCGTAATAACTTTGTATAGTGTGATCACTTCATAAGGTATATAGATGTTGAGTCACTGTGTTGTACACCTGGAAGTATTATATTAATACTTTAATAAAAATTTTTAAAGTGTTACTGGAAGTATATAGATATATCTCATAAATAGCACTAACACTAGTTTGCATGCTATCCTAGAATTGCTTCCCCTAAAATACCATCAAATCAATATTTATTGAACTATCTAAGTAGTTCTTTAATACCTTCAGCTTTCATTTTCAGTCCTTTGAATGTTCTTTATCATCCTCATTCCTGTAGAGCAGGGGTGTGGAACCTTTTTTTTGCCAAGGACCATTTGGATATTTATAACACCACGAGAGGCCTGGGGCACGAAATTCATGGGGGGGGGGGGGTGGTGTCCCTCAGCCCGGCCTGCGCCTTCTTGCAGTCGGACATCCCCTGAGGGCTCCTGGACTGCAAGAGGAATTTCATGCCCTGGGCCTCTAGTACTGTTATAATCCTAAATTACTTGATGCTGGTCTATAGTCCTCTGCAACTAGGGGTCAGAAGCCTACATTGATATTGTGACAAAAGTCTGTAGCAGGCTTAGCAATCTGGAGTTGGAGAAATGAGGTATGAACAAGTGAAAGTAAACAATACCAAGGAAATATGCTTTCTTGGAATTTTGTGGTTCAAGGTGTCCTGACTCATACCCTAAAGCTGTAGGATATGGCTCTATTTCTCCCTTATCTCTCTGGTTTGATGCTGCTGTTAGAGTTCTATGCTGTTTCAGAGTCACTGTGGGCATGATGTGACTTTGGGATGTGGTTGCAGAGGACTACCATAGTCTGACTTATTGGTTTGGGCAGATAAAGAATTTTTCTCTGTTAATAGAATGGTTGTTTTTTCTGTGTTTATGAAGTTTCAGGCTCAGATTTTATATTATACTAATAAATATTTTCAGTAACACTTTTATAGGAATTATTTTAGTAAGAATAGTTTTATTCTATTGTTGAAACAATTGAAACACAGAATCTGACATTTAAAAAACATTTATAAATGTTTGAAAAATTACATTTGAAAGGTAATTAGTAATTTTCTAAAAAGTAAATTGCTTTATAATTTTATTATTATTAATATAATATCTACTCATTCTAAAGTTTTTTCAGTCATTTAAAGAAAAATAGAGCATTAACTGGTTTAGCTCAGTGGATAGAGCATCAGTCTGCGGACTGAAGAGTCCCAGGTTTGATTACTGTCAAGGGCACATGCGGGCTCGATCCCCAGTAAGGGGCGTACAGGAGGCAGTTGATCAATGATTTTCTCTCATCATTGATATTTCTCTCTCTCCCTCTCCCTCTCTGAAATCAATAAAACTATATTTAAAAAAGAAAAAGAAAAGTACAAACGAGAAGGTAAAAATCACCTCTAATCCAGTTTGGTAGTCTTTTAACATTTTCCTGAATATTCTTTCAAAACTTTTAATATAGCCATAGCTGGTTTGGCTCAGTGGATAGAGTGTCGGCCTGTGGACTGAAGGGTCCTGGGTTTGATTCTGGTCTGGGGCACATGCCCGGGTTGTGGGCTCCATCCCCAGTGTGAGTGCAGGAGGCGGCCGATCAGTGATTCTCTCTCATCCATTGATGTTTCTGTCTCTCTCTCCCACTCCCTTCCTCTCTGAAATCAATTTTTAAAAAAATTTTAAGTATTATTAAAAAACACACAAACTTTTAATATAAAAGGGCATTTGACTCTATACACTATTTAGTAGCCTGCTTTTTTCACCTTATGATGTATTTGGGAATTCTTTTTGTTAATTAATGTAGATATACTAGTATGTGCTATGTTGTATAGTAGCTACTAGCTTATGTGGCTATTTATATTTAACTTAAAATGAAGTAAAATTAAAAACTCAATTCCTTAGTTGCACTGGACACATTGTAAATGCTCAGGAGACACATGTGGCTAGTGGCTACTATATTGGGCAGCAGGAGACACATGTGGTTAGTGGCTACTATATTGGGCAGCACTGCTTTGCATTACTGTTTGTAATGGCTTAGGGTTATACGTATTCCTTCCTGTTCCCAAGCCCTGAATTCTACCAAGTTTTATTCAAAATGCTTATACCAATTTACATTTTTATAACCATTTATGAGAGTACCTGTTTCCTCAGTTAGTAGTATTCTTTTAAATCTTTATCCATCTGAAAGTTGGAAAATAATATCCTGTTTTAATTTGTAATTTTTGTCTGCTAATGGGATTGAAGATCTTTTCAAATGGTTGTTTGCACCTTTTTTCTTTTGTGAATTGACTATACAGGGTAGTTTTAATTTGTATGGATTTAATTTGTGCAATCCTAGAGATATGTAATTAGGAGAGAACTATGTTAATAAGCTTATGACAGTGAATATTCAAGTAGCAAAATTTTAAACTTTCACTTTTTTAATACTTTATTTTATGGTTAAGATTATGGTTTGACATTGGTTCAATTGACTTATCACAGGTAATTCAACAGGCATTGCATCGCCCCTCCAGCTCAGCTGCTCAGTACCTTCAGCAAATGTATGCAGCTCAACAGCAGCACTTAATGCTGCACACTGCAGCTCTTCAGCAGCAGCACTTAAGCAGCTCCCAGCTTCAGAGCCTTGCTGCCGTTCAGGTGAGAGTGGAATAAATGAAAAATTATGAGGCCTAAGTTGACATTATTTGCAGATACTGCAGAAAATAAATGAATTGGGTATTATTTCAGAGTTCAGATGTTTTGTGATAATTTTTTATTAAGGAAATATAATAGGCTGCCAAATGGAAGTTAATTTAAAAAATAATGGATATGTTTTATATATTACTCTGTTGCTAACTTTTTCTTCCACTGCTTTTTATCTACATTGCAGGATTGCTACGCTAGTGTCATAATTTTGCATGTAAAATTTTAGGTATAACAGTGAATACTTAGGATTACGTGAATTATATTTACATTTTAACAAAAAAAGTTTTTTTCCAGTATGCAAGAAATTTACACTATTGAAAAAAATTAAACGGTATAAAATTGTTTATAAGAGTTAAAGTAGAAGTATTCCTTTACTACACCCACTGCTTTTTTCCACTCTTCAGAGTTGGCCACTATATCAGTTAATATGTAACCCTCCAGAAATTTTCTGTATAAAGATATGCATATGTACTTTCTAAAATCTAATCACACTATTCCTACTAATAACAGGATGATTTTATGATTAAATGCTTGTGTTTTAAAAAAGATTTTCATTATTATTCTGTTTATTTAAATAAAACTACATGTGAGATTTAATCTTAAATCTTACTGGAGGAGGATCTCAGTTGACTGAACCTGAAAAAGGTTTATATCTGTTGTAATCACATACCCAGCTGTTGCTTTTTCTTGGTAGTGTAATTTTAAGTGACATGGTGTTTGTGATATGAGTTAGGAAACTGAAACCCACTGGCACTTGACGTAGCTTCAGTTTCTTTTTTGTAATGTTGCGGTGGTGATTCCACTAAAGAAGATGGAAGCCTGTAGAGTAAAACTGATCATGAGTGCAGCTATTAAAATCATATTACCCTTTGGGTCCTGTTTCCACCATTCAGCTTTTTTGTTTTTTCTTAATCTGTTTGGCCAAAGCTTAATCCATGTTCACTGTAAAATGAATAGCTTCATATATAGACATTTTTACTTTTCTTATGGTTTTGTGGTATCCTGGTACCAGAAAGATTTTAACTTTAGGTTTTTATGGACATATTATAAAGATCTTACTATTTTAGGCAAGTTTATCCAGTGGAAGACCGTCTACATCCCCCACAGGAAGTGTCACACAACAGTCAAGTATGTCCCAGACGTCTGTAAGTGCCCTAAACTTTTTCCTGGATTTAAAAATTTTAATTATTGCTTTCCAAAAGTAAACCATTAATATTTGCAAAGCTGTTAATTGTATATTTGTTTAAATACTATTTAAGTAAAAAGTACCTAGAAGTAAGAATGATAAGGTTCAAGAATTCAGAACTAATGTTAAACTTCGGAAAATCTGAGTCTAAAAATATTTTTGTTTTACTTCTTATACATTGTTTCCCATGAAGTGTATTCAGGTCTTTTATGGTTCTAAATGATTGCAGTTTTCAGTATGTATTGAAAGCCTGAAATGTACAATGCACGGGTATTAGGCCATGCATTTACTGTGATATACTACAGAATGTCATATCCTTGGTAGACATCTAAATGTTTCTAGCTTTTTCTCTGAAATTCACATTTTAGAAATTATACATTTCAGCTTATGCTTACTTGAGTTATCTGGGTCAAATTTAAAATTAGTCCACTCAAGATAGTATAATTTATTTTGAAAAAGGTGTAAAAGAAAGCTGGTTTGCTCTCTTGCATATATTGTGGGAAATTGTGCAAACTTTCCTGGTTAAAAGAAATTTATAGGCATGGTAATACTTGTTTAACTTTTTATATAATTTCAAATTGCAAGAATAATAAAAAGATTTACTCAGATTTACCAGTTGTTAGCATTTTGGTTCATTGCTTTATCATTTTCTTTCTCTACATATTTACATATTGTTTTTTTCTGAATCCTTTGTGGGTAAGTTGAGACATGTTTCTTTAGTCCTATATATTTTGATATATATTTACTAGAAACAAAGTCATTCCTTTACGAAGCCACACGAAAATGATCAAATTCCGTAAACTTAACATTGCTGCAATGTAGTGTATATTAAAATTTCATCAGTTGTCCTAGGTTTATCAATCTCATCACTATAGATGTTTTGGACCAGATAATTCTTTTTTTCTTTTTTTAATTTTTATTTATTGATTTTAGAGAGAAAGGAGAGAGACAGAGGGAGAAACATTGCACTCATTGGTTGATTCTTGTATGAACCCAGAACCTTGGCATATCGAGACAATGCTCTAACCAACTGAGCTAACCAGCCAAAGATGGACCAGATAATTCTTTGTTTTGGGGGCTGTCTTGTGCATTATAGAATGTTTAGCAACACCCTTAGCTTCTAGCCACTTAGATATCAGTACACTGTGCCCCTCCCCCTTCCTCCATTGTGACCTCCAAAAATGTCTCTAGGCACATTTTGCCTAATGTTTTCTAGGGACAAAATTGCCCCTTGAGAACCATTGAGTTAACCCTATAATGTCCTTCCTAGCTACTTTTTCTTGATCCAGTGTGGTAATATGTTAATGCTTTGTAAAATTAACTCCAACAGAATATTGTTTGTAGATTGCTAAGGAATTGAAGGTGAACTTGTGCTGTCCTTCTTTAGCTAAGGGAAGTATCCTGGAATATAAATAGAATTAGTTAAAAAAGAAATTACTTATGCTTTGAAAATGTTAGACTGAAGGAAATGAAAAATCTAAGTAATATGGCCTTACGTATTGATACTAAACATTTTGTGGACTGGTTAAAAACCTTATAGACCAATTCTTTATTCCATGAAATACTGGAATAACTTTTGACAACATAGAGATACGTGTTTTTAAAATTTTTCTCTTCACATTATTAAAAGGTATCCTTTTTTTTTTAATATATTTTATTGATTTTTTACAGAGAGGAAGGGAGAGAGATAGAAAGTTTGAAATATCGATGAGAGAGAAACATCGATCAGCTGCCTCCTGCACATCTCCTACTGGGGATGTGCCCGCAACCCAGGTACATGCCCTTGACAGGAATCGAACCTGGGACCTTTCAGTCCGCAGGTCGATGCTCTATCCACTGAGCCAAACCGGTTTCGGCAAAAGGTATCCTTTTAAACTATTTTTCTTTCATTACGATTTTATGAATGTGACTTTCACAGAAATTATAATTCCAGTGATTGTGCTTAATTTTTATGACATTGTTAGTGCTACTTGTCATAAATTAGGCAGCTTGTGTCCTGAAATATGCCAGAGCCTGTGAGTGGCTGCTGGGGAAAAGAAGTAAGTAGGGAGAATGGATATCCAGAAAAAGAAATAATATATTGGCCGAACCGGTTTGGCTCAGTGGATAGAGCATCGGCCTGCGGACTGAAGGGTCCCAGGTTCGATTCCGGTCAAGGGCATGTACCTTGGTTGCGGGCACGTCCCTACTGGGGGGCGTGCAGGTTGATTGATCTCTCTCATCAATGTTTCTAACTCTCTATCCCTCTCCCTTCTTCTCTGTAAAAAATCAATAAAATATATTTTTAAAAAAAAGAATATATTGCATTTGTTTTCTTTTTAAAAAAAGATATATTTATATTGATATAGAGCAGTGGTTCTCAACCTTCCTAATGCTGTGACCCTTTAATACAGTTCCTCATGTTGTGGTGACCCCCAACCATAAAATTATTTTCGTTGCTACTTCATAATTGTAATTTTGCTACTGTTATGAATCGTAATGTAAATATCTGATATGCAGGATGTATTTTCATTGTTACAAATTGAACATAAAGCATAGTGATTAATCACAAAAACAATATGTAATTATATATGTGTTTTCTGATGGTCTTAGGCGACCCCTGTGAAAGAGTCGTTTGACCCCCAAAGGGGTTGCGACCCACAGGTTGGCGACCCACAGGTTGAGAACCGCTGATATAGAGGAAGGGAGAGGGAGAGAGAGATAGAAACATCAATGAGGGGAGAGAATCATTGATCAGCTGCCACTTGCATGCCCCCTACTGGGGATCGAGCCCACAATCCAAGCATGTGCCCTTGACTGGAATCGAACCTGGGACCCTTCAGTCCACAGGCCGATGCTCTATCCACTGAGCCAAACTGGCTAGGGCCATTTGTTTTATTTTCTATTCCAGTTGAGCAATAGCTCAAGTAAGTTGACCAGCATTTCAAATTATGATACCCAAGATTGCTTAATAAATTTAGGTCAAGCTCTGAAAGAGGGGCAGAGCATGGTAGCAGAACTCTTTAGGTAGTGACCATAATGATCTGTCCGGTGGCAGACTAGTAGTTTGCTTATTTTGAGGTAGGTTTTCAGATAACAGTGAAAGTCATGGGAATTAGTCCAGCCTCCAGTAGAAAAAAGGGATACAAGTTAGTTTGTCAAATTAACAGCCAAATAAGTTGGGGTTTAGAGTAGGAGTGGGATCCCAAAGGGGAAATGGAATATTGTATTTTTAAAAAATGGAGTCAAAATCCAGTGATACCACTTGGGAAACTATGTATGTGGAGAAATCTATTCTTAATATAATGTATAGGTAATTAGTGGGTGCCAGTATCCTCTTCTTTCCCCTCATTAGAACAGAAAGACTAATTCTAGATACTTATCAGTAGTGAGTGTTGATTTTAGGATTGATTAGCTCTAAAACTAGTTGGAACTGAGCCTTTAGATGTCTTTGTACTTCAACTAAATGAGACTAAGATTTAGTTAAACTTGATTGTCTAAAATGAAATCTAAACCAATTAAAAACTCTTCTGCAAAGGCATCAGCAAAGTTAAAAAATAACAAAATGGTTGAAAATATATTTAAACCATATTTATTAACCAGCTTATGTTTGTGAAATAACAATGGCTCTTTTATATCAGTAAGATAAACAGTGAGAATTCACAAAATACCTGCATTAGTAATTTTCAAAAGAAAGACTTTTTAGCTTTTAAATACATGAAAATATATTTATCGTATTAGTAATAAAGAAACATATGTAAAACAACAATGACAGACTATTTTCACTTCTCAAATTAGAAAACAAGGAAAAGCATTGAGACAGTACCCGTTGTTGGCAAGGACGTGAGAAAGTAGGCAGACTCATTGTAATGGAAATGTAATTGGTATAGTTTTTCTAGACAGTTATTTGGCAATGTGTATAAAAATTTAAACTGCATGCCCTTTCATATGGCACTCTCATTTTTAGTGATGTCATTTACTAAAAAGGACAGATAATTATGCAGAGTGATATAGATAATTATGCAAATATGCATGATTTATAATAGTGAGAAATTATAAACAATATACATGTCCTTTAATTGAGGATTAATTTTACAGAGAGACTTAGATTTTCATTAGGTATTAAGTTGAAAAATAGCAAGAATGTATAGTATGATCTCATTTACTTTATCTATTTAGGTTATTCTATTCTTTCAGTTCTAAACTTTCCATTTGGTTCTTTATATCTTCTGTTTCTTTGCTGAGAGTATATTTTTCACTTGATTCAGTCAGGCTCATAACTGCTTATTCAGAGATGATTGCTTTAAAATCTTTCTCAGATAATTACATCTTGTCTTGGTGTTGGCATTTATTTATCAATTGTCTTTCATTCGGCTTGAGAGCTCTTTCTAGTTCTTTAATACAGTGAGTGATTTTTGATTAAAACTTGGACATTTTCAGTATTATGTTATGAGACAGGTTCCCCATTTGGTCTCCATTGATACCCAAAGGGGTGCTCCTCGTAATTGCTGAGTGGGGGGTGAGAGTTCTGGCTCCTCACTGGGCCCCCACTGATGCTTTCCTGGCTGACAGGGATAGGACTGCTTCCCATATGGTCTCCACTGATTCTGCAGGGAACAGGTGGTTTTGTGGTGGTGGTCTGTTACTGCCTGGCTAGGATTAAAGTCCTGGCTCTCTACCTGCCCTTCTCTGACACTAACCCTTTGGAGGGAATAGGGGATTGGGGTGCCTATTAGTAAGTCTTTGCTGGTGTGGGTGTGGGTGGGGCCACAATGTTTTCTGTGAAGTAGAGCAATTAAAAAATAAAAACTTGCTAGGCTGTCTCTTTCCTGGTCCTTTGGCTAGAAATAGCAGGCTTCTGTTGGGGCTCCTTCTTGTCTGTGCCCATTGATGTTTTAGTGGTACAGTCTTCCTTAGCCCAAAGTTTGGGTTATATGAGAAATAAAGAAATCCCAGGGAGCTCACACCCACATTGTTTAC